GCAGATGCAGAACTTCAGTCAGACCAAGAAATGGTGAAGACTGCTGTGTTGCAGAGTGGCAGTGCTTTGCGGTTTGCCCCTGAGAAGCTTCGTGCTGACCCGAGTGTCGTAAAGATTGCTGTAGCGCAGGATGGTTATGCTTTGGAATATGCAGCCAATGGCCTGTCAGGTGACCCTGAGATGGTGAAAGTAGCATGTGCCCAGAATGGCTATGCGCTACAATATGCATCTGAGGAGCTTCGATCTGACAAAGAAGTTGTGATGATTGCTGTATCTCAAGTGCCATATGCCTTCCAATATGCTTCAGAAGCACTTCGAAGTGATCCTTCGATTGTGCGAGTCGTGGTTGGGAAGAGGGGATCGTGCCTTGAATTTGCTTCTGAGGCTTTGCGTAAAGACCGGGAGATTGTGAGGAAGGCAGTGGCCAACAACTGCAATGCCCTGCAGTATGCATTTGAAGAGCTCCAAGCAGATCCTGAGTTGCAGCGAGTAGCCAAGAAAGCGGAAGCGCGGAATGCCTTCACTTGGGCGTGCCTCATGGCTGTTGGGAGATTTTTTGCCATAGTGCAGAAAGTCAAGCTCAAGTTGTCTTCAGGAGATCAATGATGAAGAGTGCGGAAAAGAAGAAAATGATTTCAACACAGTGTGAGGGCGTTTGTGGGTTTCAGACTCTGACTACTTTTGCTCAAGATCGAATCTGAAGTACAATAGTGGCTTTAAGCAACAGGCCTCCAGCATTCAAAGAAGGTCAAAACATCTGACCCCGCCCAACAAAGCTCACTAGAGGCCAAGACACAAGATACAAGAAAGTAGGTTCGACCAAGATGAGAGTCCCAAGACCTTCGCTACCAGTAGCAGGTGCCTTACTAGTAGTAACAAGAAGCTAGTAGTAACAGGTGCCACGCTAGTAGTAACAGGTGCCTTACTAGTAGTAACAAGACCTTGGCTCTTTTCTTCCGCGACCGCGGTGGGGAGCGCCATGCCATGGGAAGGCTGAGACAGGCTCCGGTCAAGAAGATTGAGTACGTCAGAGTGACAGGGCCGGATGCGTATTCATATTAAAGTAACTAATAGCAAACATTGTTACTACTAGTAAGGCACTTGTTACTACTAGCGTGGCACTTGTTTCTAATAGCTTCTTGTTCCTAATTATTTGTTTAAAGGTTCCCTAAAACCTGTTTAAGATTGAGAGTGCGAAATGGAGAGCTTAAAAAAGAGCGTACACAAAGAAACTAGTTCTCCTTCAAGAAACACTGTTAAGTTTCCTAAAACTCCAGAAACCAAATGAATAGTGTGAGGGCCTTGCTGCGTCGTGTAGCTCTTTAAGTTTAGTAGCTACCCCGTAGTACTAGCTACTTAAGCTTACTACGGCCCACCCCTCCCCAAAACAAAAAGCCAAAAGGAAACGAGGTGGCACACTGTCTTCCGCACTCGCGCTCGCGTTTGGCACAGACCCCGACAAGACGCTTGGGCGTCCATGGGGCCGGGCGCCACAGCGCTGACCTAGCGCTTGCGGAGGTTTTTTGTGCTTTTTTACGTTTCTCTCAAAGTGAGGTGTGTTCATTTCTCAGTGTTCATTTCATTTCATTTCTGTATTATTTTCTTTCTTTCATGTTTCTCTTTCTTTTCTATTCTCTTTCAGTTCGACCTGTCTTTCTTGCAGTCAATACTCCAGTGTTCTGGTGTCTAGCAATGATGGTGGCATCCATTCTCGAAGCTATGCCTGCTATGTGTGGGGTAGTCAAAGTTGGGAGAATGGAGTAAAATTGGCTGATTTACGTTTTCATTTGTTTTTCCAACAAGACAGTCTCTCGTTTGCGCTCATCGAGGTGCGGTCTTTGTGCTCCCAAAGTTCAGAACAAACCCTCCAGTGTGTCTCCCTCGGCACAGTCCGTGGGGAAGGCGCGAAGAATTCTCGCCAATGGCGGTCCCGCTCAAGAACTTCTGTTCGCTATTTGCTCGCTAGTAGGTTGGAGGCCATGGCTATTAGGTTGGAGGCCATCGCTGTTCGATTTGAGGCCATCGCTCTTAGGTTGGAGGCCATCGCTATGAGGTTGGAGGCCATCGCTATCAGGTTGGAGGCCATCGCTATTCGGTTTGAGGCCATCGCTCTTAGGTTGGAGGCCATCGCTATTAGGTTGGAGGCCATCGCTATGAGGTTGGAGGCCATCACCATTAGGTTGGAGGCCATCGCTATTAGGAGACTTCGGAGTGCTTGATCCAGAGCTTACAGACTTGGCCAAACTGAAGGACGCATTGCCCTGCAAGAACTCACACATGACCCTCAATCGGAACCTAGCCAGGCCTTTGCAACCGATGCCGAGGCTGGGTTCACACAGTCAGACATCTTGAAGTTGCCACCATTCTGGATGTCAAAGCCCTGTAGTGAAGAACAAACAGTTTTTGTTGCTACCTCGTTGACTGCACCTATTAAAGCTACTATAGGTCTTCTATTATACGTAGTATACTACCTGTTGTACTACCGGGTATAGGGGATATCTCCGACAGGCATCTCGACCGCGCAGCTGGCGTGCCCGAGAGGCGGTGTCGAAACGAGGGGTCGGTCTTGGACCAGAGACCAATTCAACGTCTTAACTAGGGGCTCCTGGCATCGCTACTAGGAGCAAGGGCCTTACTACTAGTAACAAGAAGCTAGTAGAAACAAGAAGAATTCGTAACTATAATTAAGTTTAATTAGAAACAATGTTCGCTACTAGGAACAAGTGCATCGCTTCTAGTAACAAGTGCCTTACTAGTAGTAACAATGTTTGCTATTAGAATTAAGTTCAATTAGAATTATATTTACTAGCTTCTTGTTACTACTAGTAAGGCACTTGTTACTAGTAGCGATGCACTTGTTACTAGTAGCCATGAATGAATTTCAACGTCTTTTTTGAAACGGTCTTTTCGGACCGTTGGACCGTCCTTTGGACCGTTTCTTTAGACCCGACGTTCTTTCTCTCATCTTGCGAGGTGGAGAACAAGACCAACTACTTGACCACTATTGGCAGATGTATTTTGAAGTATATTTAGTCTTTAATCACTATCATCCAATGCTTTGAACTTGAGAACAGGCTTTTCGGGTTAGGTCCAAACGCCCCTTCTCTCCCCTCATGTTGGGTCGCAACTCGCAAGAGTCTAAAGAAAGGAAAAGGAGCAGTCACCAAGATGTCCCAAAAGAATCGCTTCTCCAAACTAAGTAGTAATATACTAGTAGTAACAAGTGCCACGCTAGTAGTAACAAGTGCATCGCTTCTAGTAACAAGTGCCTTACTAGTAGTAACAAGAACATGAGTTTCTTGACACATGCGCATCATGCCAGGCATCCAGCGAGCCGGAAGGTGCCGAAGGGGGCCCTGTCGGAGCTGCTGCTGCCGAAGCAGAAGCAGCCGAAGCCAGGTGGGGCGCGGTTTAGCAACCAGCGACCTTTTGGGGGTTGGTCACTGAATGACAGCAAGACACCCTGCATGTCTTGATCACTTGCAAATCTCCATCTCATTTGGCAACTTGTGCAGGGAAGGCCCCCGGGCAGCTGCAAGTGCGCTGTCTCAGGATCAGGAAAGGAGTGGCTGCCGCATAAAAACGTCAAAGTGCCGTTCAACGTCAAGTTTCCCAGATTCGGCCTTGCTTCCTCGATGGTTTGTGTTGCAGGCCGAGCTTCCCGGCATGTCAGCACCTTGGAGGGCCGTGTTTTTTGTTTTTTTCGATGTGTCACATCATCATGTCATCAGGCCCGAGAGCAAAGCCGAAGCAGAGAAGGGCAAAGCCCAGGTCGAATCGAGAAAAAGATGCGTTCGAAAGAAGTCTGTTGCGTGACAGGAGCCAGATGTTTTGGAGACAGTCCTGGAAGAGGAACCAAAACAAGGAAAGATGGAGAAGACGGAGAAGGAGAAGTGATCAAACCTGTGAGGGGAGAGGTGTCAAAAGAGGTCGCTGCGCTCGATCAAAAAGGAATGAAGGAAAGAAAGAAAGAAACTAGCGATGGCCTCCAGCTCAATAGCGATGGCCTCCAACCACTAGCTATAGCGATGGCCTCCAACCTACTAGCGATGGCCTCCAACCTACTAAAGAAAGAATGAATGTTCAAAAAGACCCAAGGTTTACAGGTTCTTTTGGGCTGGGTGAATGGAGAGCCATCACTGGAGGAGCCCACCGAGCAGACGGCCGAGGGGGCAGACTCATCAGATGAGAGCGTGGACGAGGAAGAGATGGAGGTGTCAAGAACTACCTGGGCTACCTAGGAACAAGGACGCTACTACAGGCTCCTGGCATCGCTACTAGGAACAAGGACGCTATTAGAGGCTCCTGGCCCTACTATTAGGAACAAGAAGCTATTAGAAACAAGAAATGAATAGAATTAAAGTAATTAGAATTAAGTTTAATTAGAAGTTAATTAGAATTGAATTAGAATTAGCAAAGGAAGCTACTAGGAGCAAGGAAGCTATGGGATATTTTTTGGAAAGAAGTCTTGGCATTTCACACGAATCTGAAGTGACCCTGTAACCTTCTCGAAGACCCTTGGCTTTCTCACTTGGTGACTTGGTGAAATGGAAGAAGTACCAAATTGCTCAGATTGATTGGGCGTTCGAAGGCATCTCTCCGCGCAGTGGCGGAAGTGCTTACGCCACGGAGAGGCAACGAGGCGCTACTGTCAGAATTTAAGGAGACCTTTTGCTACTAGTAGCTTCTTGTTCCTAGTAGTACGGCCAGGAGCCCCTAGTAGCGTCCTTGTTCCTAGTAGCGATGCCAGGAGCCCCTAGTAGCGTCCTTGAGACCTTGGGTTTCCTTTGGATCAATGTGTCTCAAGCAAATACATTCAAACGCGGCAGTATTTGGTCCGACCGGACTTGAGGCAGGCATGGAGACAAAGGCGAGCAGTGAACTGAGCAATCTGAAAGAGTCCCACAGACCTAGTATGAACCGACTTGCAGATGCTGAAATGTCAAGTTGACAGGTGTCAAGGTGACCTGTGCCCAAGTCATTTCAAAAGGGTTTCACTGTGCCAAGTAACCGGAAGGCTCCGATGCCACAGCCTCCACCTGTGCGCCAAGTCACCAGCTCAGCCTTTCCAAATGATTCGCAGCCACGTGTAGGCCACTTGAGATTGCCTAACTTTGATTCATAACAAGTGCTGTACTAGTAGTAACAAGAAGCTAGTAGTAACAAGTGCCACGCTAGTAGTAACAGGTGCCTTACTAGTAGTAACAAGAACGCACACCTGTTACTACTAGCTTCTTGTTCCTAGTAATAAGGCACCTGTTACTACTAGCGTGGCACCTGTTACTATTCGTCCTGGGTTTCCACTTGATGTCTTGAGGCACCCATCTCGGCCCGCTCCTCTCGGCCACTTTATGAGGCCCGTTGCACCAGACCATTGGACGTCCAAAAACCCGCTCCCGCTCCGCTTGTTTTTTTGGGGCTCGCGCAAGCGGCACCGCGCTAAGCTTGGTCTTTGCGCAAGCTGCGCTTCTCTCGTGATGTTCTTTTTTCGCCCAGATCACCTCGCCGATGTCCAAGCCACAGGCCGATGCGGGAACGGATGGAAACGGGAACGAGATTGGTAACTTGGTTTAGCTCTGACTTGCGTTGCAGGCAGAGCTCCCACCTTTTCCACCGGTCACGGTGTCAACCAGCACACAGTCGCATGGCTGCAGATGGCCGCAAATGCACAAAAAAGTCAATTCTTCAGGATGCTCTTGTGCACACCTTCACAGAATGGATGTGATTGGGAGGTTAGGCCGTGACGGGCCGTGAGGTAGCTTGGAAGGTAGGTGTTGTAGCTACGAGGCTAGGAACGTAGCAAAGCTCGGGTTTTCCTAGCTCTGGAGCAGCTTCCTTCAGGAATGCTTCTCCTAATTAATCTGGTTCCAAGATGATAGGGAAAAGTTGTTCTGCTTTAGAGACTGTGTTTCTTCCTTTCAAAAATATGAACACTTTGCTGCCACCCCTCAGTGTTGTCTTTCATGAATTTCATCACTTCCACTCAAGGTTGCTGCTCCTCACTTGGGCCCGCTGGGGCCGCAACATGTGCCGAATCAAGCAGGAAGAGCAGATCAAATCCTTGCAACATAAGCTTGCACCTCAAAAAACTCGGTGTCTTTTCTTTGCTTCAAAGGGCCACTCAGCTTCTTCTCACTGTTCAAGAGAACGATTCCCTGATATTTTTTGAAAATATCCCAATTTGGATTTGGTTCCATCCCTTTGCACTACTAGGAGCAAGGACGCTACTAGGGGCTCCTGGCATCACTACCAGTAGCATTCTTACTACTAGGAACAAAGCAATGTTGATTCCATCCCTATGCACCTTGCTGCCTGGAGATCTAAGGCGTTTTCCTCGTAGTCCTCCTCCAATCCAATTGTCTCCACAGCCCACTCCACGGGAATCTTCGGGCTCAGGCAACGACATTTTCGGGCTTCGTTACTTTAGTCCTTTTCGTCTCCTGACCTTGTGACACTAGCTTCTTGTTTCTACTAGCAAACATTGTTGCTACTAGTAAGGCACTTGTTACTAGAAGCGATGCACTTGTTTCTAATTGCTTCTTGTTACTAGTAGTAAGGCACTTGTTACTACTAACTTTTCCAGACTTCAAGTATCATGCTTTCTCATCACGCCTTCTGCTCCGAGTCAGCGGGGCTCATCTAGTAGAGGCGCTGCCCCCCGCACTGGTGCCGCCGCCTGGCGCGCGGGCGGAGAGCTAGGCCAGAAATCCCATTCTTTTGAAAAAGCTCCTAGTAGCGTCCTTGCTCCTACTAGTATGGCCAGGAGCCCCTAGTAGCGTCCTTGCTCCTAGTAGCGATGCCCTTTGCTCCTAGTAGCGTCCTTGCTCCTACCCCTGCCCCGCGCGCGAAAAGGTCCTAGTAGCCTCCTTCACTACTAATTTTTAATTTGATTCCAATTACACTTAATTCTAATTAATTTCTAATTTATATATTGTTTCTACTAGCTTCTTGTTCCTAGTAGTAAGGCCCTTGCTCCTAGTAGCGATGCCCAGTCTGCATCCTGAAAGTTCGAGGCATGGGCACTACGGTGCACTCACGCGAAGGTGGTAGCCCTGGCAAAGCCTTTGACCTGGCAGAACTCCGGGAGGACGAGATCACAGAAGACTTTGCTTTGCTTTGTCACTCACTTTTTATGTGTTTTATTGCTTTTTAGCCGGAGGCCCCACCTTCCTACTTAATTAAGTAGAGTCCGACTTAGGCAAGCTACTAGCTCCTAGTTAGTTACTGGACATGGACTTCACCGGAGAAGCCAGTTATGTCTTGAGAATCTACTAGGAACAAGTGCATCGCTACTAGTAACAAGTGCCTTACTAGTAGTACCAATGTTTGCTATTAGAAACATTATAACTAAGTTATATTTACTAGCTTCTTGTTACTAGTAAGGCACTTGTTACTAATAGCGATGCATTTGTTACTAGTAGCGAACATTGTTACTGGACAAAAATGTGACCTCCGTGGCCCTGTCAGGAGCAGCGTGACTCCATGGCAGAGCAAGGGGCAAGGCCAGAATTTCGCCGCTTCCGACGTGTCATCAGACAAGTGCAGCTCAAGCACAGGATGAAACTGACTCGTGGTCTTGGCAGCAGTGCAGCTCAAGCACATAGCTTGGGAACACCTGGTTTTGGTGTTGTTGCTTGGCTGCACCATGAAAGGGCATTGCTACTAGGAGCAAGGACGCTACGTTCGGGGCTGGCATCGCTACGAACGGAGCAAGAAGCTATTAGCTTATTGTTTCTACTAGCTTCTTGTTACTACTAGTAAGGCACTTGTTACTACTAGCGATGCACTTGTTACTAGTAGCCATCGCTTTCGGCGTCAGGACACTCCGGGATTCCCCGGTGGTAGCGGTGTGGCCTCGGCAGATGCATCTGTGGCCAGCTCTGGTGTGGCTTCACCCGTCAAGGCGATCCCGCCCAAAGACACTTCATTCGAAGCAGGTTCGTCAAACTAAGGTAGGAAGGAATAGAGAAACAAAGGAAGGGAAAAGGAAAGTCTACAGGAAGAAGAAGTGGAAGAAAGTGAGGAATGGATCTTCCGTTTGTCGATCCAGCTCAGGGAGGACAGATGTCACCGTGGATTCTCGAGGCTGAAGCACTCTGCGAGGACAGAATTTGTGTGTGTGTGTTCGTTTTTCTTGTTGTGCTTTTGTGTGTTCTGTCTTTTCTTGTATGATGTATTTGTTGTTCCAAGATTTGCATGGCAGAGAAGGAGACGGAAGAGGAAGGTTCACCAGGTGGAGGCCCTCCAAGTTTGCAAATGTTTGCTTGGCGCTGTGATCAGACGACAGGTGGTTGGGGGTTGGAACCGGAGTCGCTCCCTGAGTTTGAAGAAATGCCACACGCAGCGCACCTGACATGAATATTGCAAGAGACGCATAAAGCGAGAATAAAAGAGACAAGACTCAAGACATGATCTTCTATGTTTTTTTAAATTCAGTGTTGTTACTTATCTTACTACTTATTGATGTTCTATTTCTGTCTTTTCTTGCTTGTGCACTGACATGAACGACTCGGAAAAGGCTGGACACCCTTTTGCTCTTGGAGAAAGAGATTCGTTCCGGACAACGAGAGCCGATCCTTCCGGAGGTGCAGACACAACGTGTGAGATGTGTTTAAAGCCCACGGGCGTAGGCCGTAGAGGGAGGTAGCTAGGTAGCCAGTAGGAGCAAACGGAAACGAATAGCTTAAGTTACTACTACCTAGGATGCAGGATGGTAGTAGCTAATGATTTGGCCCCTAGGTTTTAAGGGGAACTTCACTAATCACCGCATGTCTCGAACCGTTCACGCGATACGTGTGCCGGCACGTTGTGCAGGACATCACACACATCAAGGAGCGAAAGGAAATATGTAGAGACACGCAGTTGGGGCATGTGGCTGGTCGGGCAATTGGAGCATTCTGCAGGAGGACCAGCCGGTGTTGGACGAAGACGAACTGCAGAGAGTGGAAATGTGCGGGCCCTCCGGGGAAGGAAGACAGGAAGAAAGGCAGTAAGAATGCTCCGTTCGTAGCGATGCCAGGAGCCACTAATAGCGTCCTTGTTACTACTATCGATGCCCTTGCTCCTAGTAGCTTCTTGTTACTACTAGTAAGGCACTTGTTACTAGAAGCGATGCACTTGTTCCTAGCATCTTCAAAGCGTTCTTCATGTTTTTCCAGGTTCGAAGAAAGTCCGAAGAAATCCGAGGAGAGGAAGTCCGAAGGGAGACGACAGAGACCTACCATTTTTCTGTTTTGTTCTGTTTTTTGCCCGCTCGCACCGTCCCCACTTGATTAAGTAGGCGCCTACTAGTAAGGGAGGTAGCTAGTAGCTACAGGACGCTACTACATATGGACGCAGGCTCCCGCTATTCATTTGGTTCCTAGATGCTGAGGGAAACGTCCAAATCTGTCAAAGCACTTTTGCAAGTCAAGCGTCCAAATCTGTCCGCTCGAAGCGCATTGCAGGCAGGTTCGGATCGGCCAGACAGACTTCAGGAAGTAAAGTCAGAACAGACCGGGCCTAAAAGGGACAATGAAAAAGTCCATTTGTTCTTGAAAGAAGGGAAGAACATAATATGAAAAACATCTTAAAAGTTGATTTTTCTGAAAGTCTCTTCACTCATCTTCACGTTTGTTCTCGTACTACTAGGAACAAGAAGCTACTAGGGGCTCCTGGCATTGCTACTAGGAGCGATCGGACGCTACTAGGGGCTCCTGGCCTTACTACTAGGAGCAAGGGCATTACTACTAGTAACAAAGGGCATCGCTACTAGTAACAAGTGCCTTACTAGTAGTAACAAGAAGCTATTAGGGGCTCCTTTCGCTGTCGCTCCTTTCTCTGGAGCCCAAGCGCATCAAGGCCCGAAGAGCCGGTCGCAGATCCCGAGGCCGTTCTGGCTGCGACCGTGGGATGTGCTAGCGTCCTTGTTCCTAGTAGCCTTCTTGTTTCTAATAGCTTCTTGTTACTACTAGTAAGGCACTTGTTACTAGTAGCGATGCACTTGTTCCTAATAGCTTCTTGTTCCTAGTAGCCTTCTTGTTCCTAGTAGTACGGCCAGGAGCACCTAGTAGCGTCCTTGCTCCTAGTAGCAATGCCAGGAGCCCCTAGTAGCTTCTTGTTCCTTCCTACTTATATCTTGCTTTAGCCCTCTTTTTTTCCTTAGACCTTTTGGAATCCTTCCTTTCTGGACAGCCAATCCCTGTGTCGCAGACAAATCCGTCGACCTTCGAGTGGCCCAGCTGAGAGCGTGAACGTGAAGTCAAAGCATGAGATGTTCAACATTGTTCGTCCTTGCTCCTAGTAGCGATGCCCTTTGTTCCTAGTAGCGTTCTTGCTCCTAGTAGTAATGCCAGGAGCCCCTAGTAGCGTCCGATCGCTCCTAATCGCATTTCAGGTATGTCGTTGGTGAGAAAGTGTCGTACTACTCTGCTTCCCACCGTGCTTGGATGCCCGCCCGCATCGTGGAGCGTAAAAGCAGGCGAGTCACGGGTCTCATCACGGCGAGTCACGGGTCTGGCATTCTTTCGATATGTTCGACAGGACAATCTATGTCATTGACAAGCAGATGCGCGGATGCATGGCAAAGGCACCGACCCGTAGATGTTTTTGTTTCCTAGAAGAATGCATGTTCTACATTATGGGTGCTTTATTTGATGTGCAGTTTGCGCTCTGGTTGCAAAGGTACGAGCGTCAGAGCTGGTTTCGGAGGCTGAGGAAAGAAACAGTCCTGCTCAAAGCCCAGCTACGCATGTGTTCTTGCTTTATTGCATTCATGGAAAGGCTTCACAAGGAGGCTGGTTCCGGGGTTTCTTCACACTCTTTCGGCCCTCGACTTGACCACCGTGTCCTACGACAATGCACCGGTCTTCCAAAGTTTCTATTTTGGAGATCTGGTTTTGTTGCCCAAGGCTCCACCAGGCCACACGCACCATTTCTTGAGAACAAAGAAATCACCAGTTGTGTAAGGCAAAACCCATGTGCTTTTATAGAAAATGACTTTCAATTTTTCAATTTGGTTGCAAAAGGGGTGTTCTCTTGAAGAATTCATTTGTTTGTGTCCGGAAATTTGTTTCAAGTGTTCCTAGTCGTGAGCTTGAGGTCTTGCGAGCATTTACTATGCTTGAGAAGGCCGAGCGAAGGCGGAAAAGGCCGTGTTGATCTCAAAGAAACATTGACGGAAAAAGTGATTTCAAAGCTACTGGTAACAAGAGCATCGCTACTAGTAAAAAGTGCATCGCTACTGGTAACAAGTGCATCGCTACTAGTAACAAGTGCTTCGCTACTAGTAACAAGTGCATCGCTACTA